CTTTCAGTCCTGTGGAGCCCCAAAATGAGTTCAGTATATCCAGTAAACAGCGACCACACTAAATTATGCAGCGATGCAAGTTCTATTTCGTGTTCCGAAAATTTAAAGGCCGCTCTCGTAAAATAGCCTACGACAAATACTTCTTCACTATGCATCGAATTTTAGTGCTACACATCGACCAAGTACCACAACTATGGAGGAATGCACAGGCAAGACTGTCGAAACTTTTTGGAAAAACAGCTTGAATAAGCTTAGTGACCAAGTATTAGGTAGTGACAATTTGGCTGTTCCATGAGCGCAAAAAGGTAACGGCAGGGCCAGAAAGGGTTGCTTGAAGGAAAGCTAAAACCGTCAAATCTTCTTCAAAAAGATTTGCTTCATTCAAGGGCTTGATATTTAGGAGATAAAATCCAAGTAAGGAGGTATAATTGCTGAATGACTTCGTCATATACCGGCGATAGCCTTGTTTCAAACTGCACAACATGGCCGATTGAGAAGATCTATACACTTAACTGCAGCTCTCAGTAGATATTGAGAACATAGCTGTTTTAGCATTTTATTAGATTTATACTTCATTTATATCTGAGTCCATGACTATTGGGAACTTCTAGAATTTACTTCAAAGAGACTAATTATATTTAGTGCGTTTTATCGTATTAACTTTCAATTTATTTCTTCATGACAGTAAGGAGAAGCTGGTGTAGGGGATATTGCGGGAATATTGATTTGGCCTTAATTCTATTACTTGGGTCGAAGATTATCCAGCACATTGAGATCACTTCTGGCCTAGGCTACATCTTGTACAGTGCTCCTATCCTCTTATGTTACTTGAAAGATCTTTGATATATTGCCCGTCATGAATAGCCATTCAGCTCCGTATTTGCCCTTGGAACTTGGCCACCTTTTCCCCGGAACCTTCTACCCAAAAAAATTTAAAATGGTAGCAATGGTAACTGCGTGCGCAGGAAATTTTCTCAAAAAACTCCAACCCGAGTCAGGCGAGGCTTGGACACTGGAGCCGCATGAGGTGCGCGTATCAACCCATATATCCGTTCTTTGTAACAGTCGAGGCCGTCTTGATCCAATCCGCCACCCTCGTATCGGGTGCTGGGTACGCTCTGGAAACTCATCGGATGGCTTTTCCTCCATGATCAAGGATTGGTGACGAGTAGGGCTCCGACCCTACCATCTGATCTGATCGTGGTTAACTTTATGATAATGGTGATAGGGGAATGTGTTGAGAGATGAAGACGATACAGACCGCGAAAGCGATCGGGAATCCTCATCGAAGTGAGGACTTTGTTACTCAATCTCGGCTCTGTAGACTCTACAGTGAGAGCTGGAGGTCCATAGGGGACTTCACTAACAGGTGTTGAGAATCGTTGTGGCTAGGCACACTTGAAGAAGGTTGAAGGAGAAGGTTTTTTGGGAAAATCTACGGATAGAGTTATGATTGTACCATGCTTTAGCCTCAGTTGATTTATAGCGCAGTCTTTAGTATACTCAAGGAAGTTGGAGCTACTTTAAATTAGCTCTCCAGCTTCTCAATCTTTTGACCTTTCAATCTTTGATCTCGTATTCTTACTATCTTACACTACGATATTCTTAGAGGCCAATGTACCCTCATTCCTATAACCTTATAATACCAAGTTACATTCTTCGTACTTCAGATTGTCTTAATCTTACCAAACTACTTCGCATCCTCGCATCGCCGCATTTACATATCTTGACTTCGTGGCTCATCTCGCCCGACTATCTTTCTTCTCTCCTGCCCTCGGCCATCTAACACCTCGCTAGTCAAAGCATTTCCAAGTTTCCTTCACCAATCTTTGTAATCACAAGTTATAACTCTATTACCTTCGATAATCGGCCATTTCCAGTATCACTAGCGCACGCCTTATCAAGGGTGGTCCCCCTGTTCTCTACATAATTTTAAGAAGTTTGGTCAGTTCTTGGAGAACGAATGCCTAACACCTATCAATGGTATTCTCCACGAACATGAAAGTGAAATTTTCCTCCAAATTTTGACTCTATTTTTTCCTGACTGAGAATCTCGTCAGAAGGAGTAGTGCTGGGCTAACTTTGGTCGGAACTCACGGATTGCAGAGATTTCTCGACCACACAAGTCACAAAGAAAATAATCAAGACCATTCAAGCCGATTTCAGCTTGAGCTAACTATCGCACTCCCCCTCGGTACATTAATTAACTTTTGAAGTCCCTATTGAATGCCGAAAGAAAGCCACAACATGACCCTTTCTTCCAACACTGTTATCTGCTGAAATTGGCGCCACTTGACAATGAAGAGTCGCTTTAATACGGAACGTAATATGGTTCAACTATTGCTAGCCACATTCATGACGACTCATAAATTGACCAGTCTCCCAAGTATTTAGCATAAATAAGTGAATCGTGTTCTTCACTTGGATGTAGTAATTAGTTTAAATAGCGCTCTGATACCAATTGGGGTTAACCAACAATTCTCCACCACAGTTTTCAGACTCTTCAACCTCCCAATTCGCTTCACTAGGTGATGTTAAATACAAGTCTAACAGCTTAAGCTTCTCTCTACAACATTATCGACGAGGAATTATTGGAGGACGCCAAACTTAGGTTACTGAGTATGAATGTTCCATGACGATATCAAAGCTTACGAGTGAGGATGGAAGTTATACTGGGCCGTGGAAGCTTTGGAAGTGGTTAAAATGAAGGACTCAAGATTGGAAGGGTATCAACTAGAAGGTTGGCAGAGGCAGTCAACCCTTCAAAATTCTTACAAAGTTCTAAGATTCCGAGCAATGGCTAGACCTCTCTTTAAATCTTCTGGGCTCTTTTGGGGCGCTGGCACGTCGAGTAGTCTTTACAGACTGAGCTGACCGGCACTTGACTGTTGAAGTCTAGTGTTGTGCACCGGTACAACGTTAAGTAATCAAAAAAGGTCAGCTCTTACTGAACTCCAATCAGCAGTCTGCAGCTTCTATTTGGATAGATGTCTGTATTTTCACAATTGTACATGGGATATAAGCCCGAAAAGGTAAGAACTGCACAATGAAATATTTTCTTTGTGGACGAGGATACCGAGAAAAAGAACCATGCACTGTTCTTGGTTAATTTTGAATCATAAGTTGTTGACTTGATTAAAAGTTTTTAGCCTTATTTGATGCCTTTAATCTGTGCAGTTATCTACAACTTGGAAATCTTCATGGGGGAAATACTCCTAGTGAAAACCCTCCTTGTTCTGTCTTTATGATACATTTTGTTAAACTATAAGATTGTTGGTCAAACATAATCCTCACTGTGCCTTAACGTAATGGAGTTATGGTTGTGATTAGTGTTTTTTTTTGCATCGGATTTGAATTGCGTTTGCAGCTATCTAACTATGACACAATATCAAAGAAAAGTACAGAATAGATGATCCAACGTAATGGAAGAGCACTCATGCCTCGGATTTCATTTGCAAGTACCACTGCGAAGTTATGGTGGCTTTTTCTTCACCACAAGTCAACCCTCATCCGTGAATGCCCACCCAGGGGAACGTCTCAAAAACCCTGAGTTATCCAGACATGCCTCCATCATCTTTCAACTTTTCTCCGCGCGAAATGTGGTCTTAAGTGTCTCCTTCCCAAGTGGAGTAGGTGCCCAGGCTACTCAAACCATATGTGAATAGTGTTTATCTAAGAGTAAAATAGGTAAGGCGTTTGGAGATCTTATATACCCTGTATTAGTAGTTTCATATTAGCGTGTGGGCGAGGCTGGTAGACACATATTAGTAGGAGCACAGTCGCAGCATTTTTCCTGGAATGCTGAGCGAGCAGAGTAATATACACATTCTGTTAACTCTATACTTTATCAATTCTACTTCCAGTACTACTGTATCACCCGTCTAGAGGAATCATATTCTAATACCTTTCAAATTAGCTTCCATTCTTCAAAAAGTGCAGTTATACCGAGGTGCAACCTGTGTACACTAGCCAGTTCTCTTCTATTAACCCTAATTCCTACCTGTCTCATATTCATCCCGCAGTAGGGGTTTCTGAGGGACACAGTTTAGGTTGGTTTCCATCGGCCACGAAGACGGAAGTCAGCAAGAGTGATTGATAAGGATGTAAGTCTTCCCAGATAAAGAATGTAATTACAAATGTATATATGGAAACTAATTGTATAAGTTTTGGTCCTCACAGAAGAAGAGGAGCGTGTGTAATTAACGAGAATAGGAAGACGTTACATGAAGTAAAAATCTCCTGCTAGCACATAGGCTCTGACTACATACATTGAAGAATCTGCAATCCTCAACTCCTTGCAAGGTTAGCTGAAGTGCCACACTCTCTGGACAGAGATTGGGGTAACTTAGCCCCATTTTATCTGTGACATAGTTCAAACTATTTTACCATCTGTAATTCTCTGTTCAACCGTCTTCCAAGTTCTATTTCATCATCCTTTTTTCATCATAAGAGTTTTTTAATATGGCTTCGACTTTTCGATATTGGGTCCTTCTCCAGGCTTCTGTTCAGCATTTGTGTTGTAAATACAACTAGTATCATCTTATTCTATCAACAAATGTGGCTGCATACATCCCGCCTGAACTTCGTTTTGAGTTCAAATAAGAGACCATGTTTTTGATCTAGTCAGATTCAATGTTTTAGTCTGTTTGATTCTTCTTCTTCCCGCAAAAATCCAGTAACTAATTGACTCGTATTTCCTCGAACATGAACCAGTATTATAAGTCAGTGTATTTTCTTCTCCGGGCTAAGATCTCGATTTATTTTAGTGTTCAAGTCGATTCCAGATAAATATTCTCCCTTGAAATTCTGCTATACTCTCTCAGTACTTTTCTTCTTTGCAAATACGAGTTAAAACCCGATACGCTTACCTTGCTTTTGCATGACAAAACTACGTCGGGTAATTTTCAAAATTCTCTACAGAAAGTTCGATGATTCCTGGAAAATATAAATTTGCCGTCAAGATTTCTGACATCTTTCATGTAGGTTATTGATACTATTCTTCAAAAACTGTCCTTCACGTCTATGAATCTAGATGTTCTAGCCTCATCTCGGAGAAGTTTAAGTACGTCTGAAACCAGGTACAAGCTACCTGCTATAACCATAGGAGCTCCGTTAGCTTTGTGAGCTGCGCACCGCAACCCACTTAAAAGGTCTGGTTTGGTAGATGCCGAATTTATTCCCAAACTATGCGCTACAGAAAGGATGTCCTCAGGCTCCATTGATCGTACCCACGGCATTCTATCTACAGGATGGAATTTAACTGCTACTAGATCGTCACCAGGTTTCAGCATAGTTCCCATCATGGCCTCAAGATCTTTTCCGTGGGATGCTGCAACAACCCAAGTTACATTGCAGTTCGGCCTACGAAGGTTCTTTTCGACATAGCTAGAGAGTACTTTGGCAGACTGAATATTGTGTGCGCCATCTAATAACACTTTTTCTTCTCGTCCAGCGATACTCTTAATATCGAGTAGCTGTAACCTTCCCGGATTTTGCATTGACAGTACAGCAGGTAACAATCGATGAAGGGGAGATTCCGCATTTTTGTAGGCGATGAGAAAAGCAGTGTAGGCACATGCCAAGTTTTCTACTTGATGCGGCTCAAAATTTTGAGTAGGTAGGTCCTGAAAGAATGTAGCATCTGTTGAGCTTGGAATGACTTGAGTCCCAATCTTCTTTGCGTAATCTTCAATAACTTTTCTGACCGAAGTTTCATTTGTTCTATCTATCACGCAGGGGACGTTGGCCTTCATGATCCCAGCCTTTTCAAGAGCAATCTCTTCAATAGTATTACCTAGTATTGACTGATGGTCTAACCCTATTTTAGATATAATCGTTACTTCTTTGTTTTTCAGGGTATTCGTGGAATCAAGCCGCCCACCAAGTCCTACTTCTATGATGCCCATCTCGATCTTTTCGCGTGCAAAAGCTTCAAAAGCAGTCGCAGTGAGAATTTCAAATTCAGTTGCCTTGATATCCTCTGTCTTACACCTGTGGACTATAACTTTTTCGCAATCGATGAAGACTGATTTGCGAACGGGATAACCTTCGATTGATATCCCATCCCATCGATCCATCAGATGCGGCGAAGAAAAACGTCCACATCGGATGCCACAAGCTGTGAACATGGCTGATAGATAGGCACATATTGATCCCTTTCCATTAGTGCCAGCTACATGTATTGCTTTCCAGGTTTGTGGAGTTTGTCGTATAAGTTTACTTGTGCGTACCAGGCCAAGATCAATCATAACTCCCAAAATTTCAAGAAGCAAAAGAGCTTTGTGTTCCAGTATTAAAAGATCGCAGAGTTTTGTTGGAAGCTAAGTTTCTTCGGTGTTACAGTTCAGAATTGAGCGCGGCCGTCCTCGAATTATGTTAAAATTGTTGCTAGATTTTGCTGAGCTAAGTGTCAAAATAATTGATGATGTTAGAATGAATTGCCAATAAGAATCACGAGGATGAGAATATTCGTCGAGATGTTGTGGATATGAGCTATGCGGAAGTCATAATGCAGGGTGGTGAGGAGTGGATTATGCTCTTTGCTGTAGATAACAGTGAGTAGACTTATTTGATACTTTGCTGTAAGGATATCAAAAGAATTTATAATAGTGGATTTTGTCTTGTAACCGTGGGTGCACCTAGGAGATTATTTGCCTACTTGTGGATCCAAGACACCTGCTGCACAGACCATACTGGACTGTAATTTAAGGGTCCATCATCTTCATGTTAGAGTTTAGTTACTATTCAGATCCTTTGACTAACACATCGGGTTATTCCCCGAACCGCCCTATACTTTGCGCAGTCTTCAAAGCCCTTCTATTACTTCAAAGATCAATGACATATTGCTCGTGATGGATAGCAATTCAGCTCAGTACATATCCGTGGAATTTGTCCACCTTTTTCATGGAACCTGTTACGGGCTGTGCCCCTTTCGATTAGGCTGGGCTATCTTTCAGGCCCAGCCTCGTTCAAGGACTTCAATCACGTGATCCAACATGGGGTCGCTCCTCACGACTCGAATCACTCAGTTAATTATTCTGAGGCTGGGAAACAGATCACTCAGTAGCGAAGGATTACGTGCCAGGAATCAAGATCACTGGTAGCTGCACAGGGCATATTTAATGTAACAGATTTCCTGTGAATAATCTTTATAGAAAAATATTAATTCTTTGTGGTACTGTTTACGTGCGGTGTCCGTGATCCTCTTTGCCCTTCAGAGCCTTCTACCTATAAATAAAAATGGTAGCAATGGAAACTGCGTGCGCGGGATAAAGCCTCAGAAAACCTGCAGGCCCAGCCAGGCGAGGCCTAGATACCGGGACTACATGAGGTGCGCATGTTCATCTATATCTCCCTTCTTTGTAACAGTCCAGGTCGACTTGATCCAATCCGCCACCCTCGTATCGGGTACTGCGTACACTCCGGAAACTCATCGGATGGCATCTCCTCCATGATCAAGGGTTGGTAATGAGAAGGGCATCGACCCTACCATCTAATCTGATCGTGGTTAGCTTCATGACAATGGTGATAGAGTGATGTGTTGAGAGATGAACACGATACAGATCTCAAAAATGATAAAGAATCCCCATTGAAGTGAGAACTTTGTCACTCAATCTCGGCTTTGCAGACTCTACTGTGAGAGCTGGGGGTACCACAGATTAAGAATGACTGAATAATATGCTATTGTTCTTATAATGATATTTTGAATATGATCTATTGCTCTCTTGTCTACGCGCGTACACCATATTATACCAACACTAATTAAATCCATAATTACAAACTATTAGATCCTCATTTTAACGACTATACTCATTATTTACGCAATGTTAGGACTAAAAACGCACGTCCAAGGCATTGTGGATATCCGTAGAAGGATACAGTTCGTGGTGTATGTGTTTGGTAAGGCAGATATTTGGGATGGAGTTGAGATAGATCATGATAGGTAGACAGGATGATAAAAAGGAAAGGTATAACCTCAAAAGATATGAAATTGAGATCTTTACTATCGAGCCACCTGAATTACTCAAGAGAATTGTGCGCTACAAGACACTTTTTCTGAATCGGATTTGAATTGCGCATGCAGCTATCTAGCTATAACACAATTTGGGAGAAAAAAAATACAGAACAGACGACTAATTTTATAAGAGCACTCATGCCTTGAATTTTATTTGCAAGTACCACTGCGAAGTTATGGTGACCTTTTCTTCACCCTACGTCAGCCGTCATCCGTGAATACTCACCCAGGGAAATCCTGTTAAACCCGGAGTAATCCAGACATTCCTCCATCATCGAGTTACTTGTAATCGTGCTAAATGTGGTCCAAGACGTCTTCTCAAGTGGAGTAGGTGCCTAGATTTCTCAAACTATACCAGATAGCACCTCCAGAAGCTATAGTTGGTTTATTTTTTATAGTGTCAGCTGCACTCTCACAATCGAAGTCTTGGCGCGCACAAAGCTCAATGCATAAAACTCCTTGCCGAATTTTGAATCTCACGCCCTTCGAGGTTATATCCTTCCTTTGTATCATCTAGTCAACTTGTCCTGATCCCTCTCACTTTCATCCCAAAGAACTGTCTCCCAGATTTGTGCGCCTCTCTTTGATTCCTCCGTCGAGTGTAAATATCGGCGTGGGCGTGTATTTGGTGGTCAACTGAAACCAGAGAAGGTCGAAAAGAGGTGTGGTCATTGGGATGAGGATGTACTTGGCTCTGGGAGAATATTTCATTCCCAGCTAAGTTGATGACACCGCATACAGGAGACCAGTCATGCCCTCCGTAAAGTATATCGTATTAGCGGCAATATCGTTTTAACCATGATCGGCTTAACAAGGGTCTTATTGTACACGCTTTAGGCCACGTCATAATAGATGCAAGTGACTAAGAAACTAAACCGTGGGATGTTTACAGTGTCTCTAGGATCCGAAATGTTAGGCTTGAAGCTGGGCTGTTTAAGGGATTAGCCCTGTAGGCGCAGTTAGGCAAGCTCGTAATAGGTTAGACTGTCCCTCCCCATCACCCCGCTCGCCATGAATTGTGGTCCAACTGTCTTCTTCGAACAATCGCTTAGAGAAACACACTTTCAACAACACTTTTGACTGCCTAACCGGAGGTCAAGACTGGACACCTGTGCGCGGTGCCATCTACGAACCTGGGAGTGAAACGTTTTCCCAGGGCCAAGTTCAGCCAAATTTCGCAATATCAAAGAAGTTGGCCCACGAAGCAATGATTCAAATTACTCTTCCTAGTCGTTTTTTCGCTCCCAAAGAGTCCAACTCCTACCTAAGCCTCATCAAGTCTCCAAGTACGACCAAGTACATCCTCATCCCAATGACCACACCTCTTTTCGACCTTCTCTGGTTTCAGTTGACCACCAAATACACGCCCACGCCGATATTTACACTCGACGGAGGAATCAAAGAGAGGCGCACAAATCTGGGAGACAGTTCTTTGGGATGAAAGTGAGAGGGATCAGGACAAGTTGACTAGATGATACAAAGGAAGGATATAACCTCGAAGGGCGTGAGATTCAAAATTCGGCAAGGAGTTTTATGCATTGAGCTTTGTGCGCGCCAAGACTTCGATTGTGAGAGTGCAGCTGACACTATAAAAACAAGCCGACGATGGAAGGTGTTGTGGTCTGCCTCCTGGTGATGTTCTCCGGTAAAGTTTGAGTAGCCTGGGCACCTACTCCACTTGGGAAGGAGACATCTCAGATACATTTCGCGCGGAGAAAAGTTGATGGATGACGGAGGCATGTCTGGATAACTCAGGGGTTTTCAGACGTTCCCCTGGGTGGGTATTCACGGATGAGGGTTGATGTGACGGAAACCGAGTTGGTGATGAATAAATCGATTTAATAAACTATATGAGGAGATAAACTAACTCTAGCTACTACTAACAGGTATTTATAGGAGTTAATCCTCCTCGTGAATCTACAGACTAGTGACTTGTCCTTAGGCACAATACTTCTTACCCAGCCACGTATTTCCAGGTGTCACTAAGTTGTAATTACGCTTCAGCCTCCTGAGTAGTAGTCCCGTTTCGTTCAGCTTCATCTCCCCCTCATACAGCCTCATAGTAAGAATTCTTAGTAACAGGCTTAGGTGTCCACCTAAGCTCAAACAACGGTCAAACCGTAACAGTTGACTTGTGGTCAAGAAAAAGCCACGATCACTTCGCAGTGGTACCTGCAAATGAAATCTGAGGCATGAGTGCTTTTACATTACGTTGAATCATTCATTCTGTACTTTTCTTTGATATTGTATCATAGCTAGATAGCTGCATACGCAATTCAAATCTGATGCAAAAAAAAAGACTGCCTAACCTACACAGTCCTTGAAACTTAACACCACTATCAATTCATCCTCTTTTCTAGCAAACAATGTCTCTCGAAAAGTCTGTTTCAGAAACAAAAGTTTGCAAGCATCTAACTCGCGATCAATGTATTGGAATAAGAACATTAAAAAGACTTGGCTTGACATTACAACATATTTCCGACGAACTTGGCTTCACAATAAAGCAGGTGCTATTTGCGTGTGCTGGAAAGACAGAGAATCCTAAGCCTCGCAAAAGATGCTTATCTAAATTAAGCGCGGAACAAGTTAATGAGCTTGAGGCTTTCTTCCGGCAATCTCCTGAAAATCGACAGATGTGCTATTTGGAACTAGCTATGAGCACTTTCAGCAACTGGGGATGCAATGAGCGTTAAATTCCAAATGCCCTCAACAAAATAGGTTACAGCAGCTTCATTGCTCGGGTGAAGCTTCTGTTAAGTGTGGTTAACATGCACGAAAGATGTATAGCGGTGAAAAAGGAAAATGAAGGAGTCTGTGACGGGCTAAGACTTTCGGTCAGTGCACGGAAGCAACGCCACGATAAAATGTTTATATTTTCTATGCAGTTGAGCGGGCAGCTACAGCGCTTTATGACTACTAAAGCTATTCCAGATCCCTTGGCTTTACATGTGCTCTGCTAGTACTTCAGTACCCTACGAAGATTTACCAACTGGCTTACGCCTACGAAACAAGGGAGGACAAAGGCTGAACACCTGTCAGTAGTGTCCTCAACGAACCTGGGAGTGAAATTTTCTCCCAGAGCTGAGATTCAGTCACGACAAAGGGTGATATTGAGAGTTTTCGTTGAGTTGGCGGTCGGGAGGAGTGGTGTTGGCTCATTTTTGGTGGAAAATCTGACTTGCAGAGATTTCACGACTGCACAACTCAACGAAATCAACCATCTACACCCCAGAT